TGCCCTATAGCAAAAAAAAAAAAAAGAAAAGAAAAAGAAACTTTTTTAACTAATTAGATACTTTTTTTCTAAATACAATCTCACATGACAATTTAAGTATATTTAGACGTTTGAATTATGTCCTATTCTTTGAAAATCCCTTTGGAACTATTTGATTGATTCCCTCCTTTGACTGGGTTTCGAAGTTTATTTTTTTACTTTTATGCTTTAAAGAATTATTTATTGGGGGCCGGCAGGTGGCGCAGTGGTTAAGGACGCTGGATTCCCACATGGCTGACTGCGGTTCAAGTCCTGGACCTAGTGGCTCTCATTCTCACTTTCCTTCTCTCTCTCACTCTGTCCCTCTCTGGTAAAATTAAAATAAAATAAGTAAATAAAATAAGGTTCAATGAAATAATTTTTTTTACAAAAGAATTATTTATTTATTTCCATTTGTTATTATTGTTCTTTAATTTGACCAGAGAGCAACAGAGAGAGAGAGAGGAAGGAAAGTCAAGAAAGCAAGCCGCCAGGTCCGGTCCTCGAACCACGGTCGTCCATGTGGGAATCCACCGCCCCCAACCACCACGCCACCCATGAGCCCCACCTATAGCAGACATTTTTTTTAGAAAGGAGAAATTGAAAAGGACATTCATCATCGGTAGTAACCGTGACATTCAGATAAAGATGGCCGACCCTCTCCCCCTTTTGCATTCGAATCCCCTTTCCCACTGTTCACACCGCTGTGCAGGGTGGTGGAGACGGGGGAGAGCTGACGGTCTCACGCGTGCACTCGTGGCATCGTGGGTTAGCAGACGTCTTTCTGGAAAGGTTTTGACAAGATGCATCATTTATCTTAAAAATGCCTAGACTCCTAAGTCCACTAGTCAGTTCTGGGAATCTCTCCCAGAGAAGTAAATCAGAATATTGCAAAAGGCTCATGGCCTCTTTCCTTAGAGTCTACATATTCAATAATATGAAAATTAGGTAAAATTTCAACCAGCTTTCATTTGGTTGTGATCTTAAACCATGCAGAGAATAGGGACGTGGAAAAATGAGGAGAGGAAGGGGAAGTTCCAAATGGATTATAGTAGCTCATGTTGCAGTGGTGGGCAGATAAGTATTTTTTTCATTTGTTTTCTTTTCTTTTTTAGTCTTGGTTTTGTTTTGTTTCAGAATCTTCTGGGCTGCTACAGTGACCCAGTAGCCCTGCAGTCATTACAGTTTTATGGTAGTGTGTTAGAACATTTCAGGGCCAGCAGATGGCATAATGGTTACTGGACTCCCACAGAGTCAACTGGGGTTCGAGTCCCAGACCCGGTGGCTTAAACTCACACGTGCACGTGTGGGTGCGTACCCAAGATCCCGAGAGGAGGATGGAGGAGAAGGGACTGTGGCATGGCCATTCCCCCAGGGGATGATTTTTCACTTTCTGTCTCTCTGGTGAGCACATGTCCTCTATAGCAAAAATCGCTCTTAAAAAAAAAAAGAAAGAAAGAAAAAGAACATTTCTTTCTTTTTCTTTCAGCTTGATAGTTGTTTTCTGTCTGCGTCATTATCTTTGCAGATAAAAACATGGCAGCTTTGTACTTACTATAAACCATATAGATCTGTCATATTGGCAGCCTGTTTGGTTTGATCTACTACAATAGGTACATTTTTTCACCAAGAGTTTCTGTTTACTACTTAGACTGTTATTAAAATGGTTTGAACTTTGGCCCTCTGTTTAAATATCAAGCATAAAGGAAAATCTTAAATGTCCAGCAACTTCACTTTTTTTAGACATGTTGAAAAAGAAAAAAATATGTTTGATTAGAAATAGAAAGGCCTGGGACTGGCAGTTGGCATAATGGCTACATCGCTGGACTCACATGTAATCAACCGCGGTTCGAGTCCCAGACCCGGTGGCTTAAACTCACACCGGGCGCGTGTGCGTGCGTGCCCAAGATCCCGAGAGGAGAATGGAGGAGAAGGGATTATGGCGTGACCATCCCCCCTGGGG